GGATAAGGCGGCGGAGGGGGAGGGCGAGGAGAAGAACGCGAATGTTGGAGTTTTCTCCCCAGGCCCCCTCAGGGTCGCCCGCAGTGGCGGTGATGGTGGTGATGATGATGACGATGGTGCTGACGACGGTGGTGGTAATATTAACGATGATTGTGCTGGCGATGATGACGATGTTGATGGCAATGCTAATGGTGATGATGCTCCCACGGATGTGATGGTGATGGCGACGGTGGTAGTGACTGTACCGATGTCGATGGTAACGATGCTGATGGTGACGACGACGTGCTGATGATGAGGACGGTTCCGAGGATGGTGACGCGGATGGCGGTACTAATGGTGGCGGTGATGTTGGTGGTGCTGTCTGTATTTTTGGTGGTGGTGGTGATGGTGATGGTGGTGATGAATGTGATTGTGACGAGGATGTTGCTGATGGTGCTGAGGACGATGGCGACGACTGTGACGTGGTGGTGAGGCTGCTCATGATGACGATGATGAGTAGGGTGGTGATGCTGATGAGTATGGTGGTGACGATACCGTTGTTGGTGATGATGCTGATGAGTATGATCATGATGTTGATGATGGTAAGGGTAATGGTGATTGTGGTGCTGCAAATGATCCTGATGCTGCTGATGATGATGGCGGCGGTGCCGATGGCGATGCTGATGGCCATGCTGGCGATGATGAGGCGGAGGAGGGTGAATGACGAGGAGGAACGGGAGGAGGAGACGGAAGAGGAGGAGAAGGAGCGGGGAGGAGGAGGAGGAGGAGGAGGAAGAGGAGGAGGAGGAGCAGGGGGAGGAGGAGAACGATGAGAAGGATGCGGGTCGGCGTCCTTGACGTGTTGGCCCAATGGGCCCGTCACCCGAGAGCGAGCCCCGTCGCACTCACGCAGCGCTGCGCCACCCCGGCTTCCGATGTCTGACACGAAGGCCCTGATTGACGAGATCGCGAGGCTCTTGCAGCAGCTGCGAGACGCAGATGCGGCGCGCACCCAGGCGGGATAGGGTGCAACAACAATGCTGGACTGCCCTTCTCTCCTGCCTTGGCGCGCGCCGCATGTGCCGTTACTCGTCCTTCGCCTACCCCCCTTCGTCCGATCCGCATCCTGGCCCTCGCCAGTCGCGTCCTCTTCCTCCTCGTCCTCATCCCCCACCCTCCTCACCGCAACCACCCGTAAGCCCGAGCGCTCCGCGCCATCCTCCATCTGCCCCGCCAGCGCACACACCCGAGGCACTGGAGAGCAGGGCTCAAGAGATTCGAGCGCTGCACATCGAGACTTACGAACTAGGCGAGGAGCTGGCCGCGATGCGCATCATACTCAACCAAGTAGCGCCCGACAGGCTGGTTCAGCACGACCGCGAGTTCAGCGTCCAGATGAGGTGAGAACGGTTGCGCGCCCACCAGTTTATCGGCATCGCTCGGACGTGAGATCGCTGATATGCGGCTGGTGGGACAGTTATATCAAACTGTAGTTTTTGGTACATGTGGTCCCCAGCTCGAACCCTCAATGTCGAGCGTTGAAGCTGCCTCGTCGCTGCTGCTGGACTCGCGAACAAAAAACGAACTGTGCGGGGGGCGAACGGCTCGAGCGATGGCGAGTTCTCGAAGAGGCACCCTAGTTCCTTCTACTATCACACCACCACTCCCGATGTAAAGGGTGCCCCATGGGTTCCAGGAGTGGCCTAAATTGTTCCAGGGATTACAGGTGCTCCAGGGGTTCCAGGTATAGCATGAAACAAGCGCCCTAGGCGTTTCGCCTGGGTCTTCCTCCTGTGCGTTTCGCTTGGGTCATCGGTGCTCCCAGCGGTGGGGAGGGCACCGCCTCCCATTTTGTGCGCAAGCACGTCTGTGCGTAGCCCTCGTGTTGTCAAGCGTGCGCTGTGCTCGGCTGCCGTCGTGAATGGCATGCCCATGGGCGTGTCGCTCCTCATCGGTGGTGCCAGTTTTGTGATTTACACATCCCTTTCTTTGTCACCAGATCGATGACAAGTCTTCGCCATGCGATTCTCTGTTGCAAGATCGATGCCCGTTCTTTGTTACCACAACTAGTATTCCCCGATGCCTTTCGGCACAACCACTCCGCCCCTGCATGGGGTCTAGGTGTCGGGATCTCGGATGCTCGGGCTGTCTTGTGGCTCCAGGGGCTCGGGGCTTTGGTGCGCTCAGGGCCTCCCAGGGCCTAGGGGACCAGTCTGAGGGTCGGGGGCTCCAGGTGTTCTCGGGGTTCCAGAGGCTCCAAGTGTTCCAGGGGCTCCAGGGTCTCTGGGGCGCTCATGGCCTCCCAGGGCCTAGGGGTTCAGTCTAGGGGTCTGGGGCTCCAGGGGTTCCAATGGTTCCAGGGGCGTCAAGTGTCTCAGGGGCCCCAGGTGCTCCAATGCTTCGGGGCGCTCGGGGCCTTCCATGGCCATATGTGCTGGTCAAGTCGGGCGCATCATGGGTTCAGGAGTTCCAGTGGCCACATACCAGAAGTTCACGCGTCCCCAGGGGCAACAGGTGTAGCATGAAAAGCGTTTTGAGCGTGTCGCTTGGGACTTCATCCTGCGCGTTTCGCTTGTGTCATTCATATATATATATACACACACGTGCATCCGTGGTCTCAACTACCAAGAGGTAGCCCACTCCTTTACGGGCACTGCGCCTCGTTTTTTTTTCTGCGGGAGGCGCTGATCGCGCACCGCTCCAGCTTGATATGCGCTGCCGCGCGTGCACGAGCATGTTGTCGTCGGATGTCGGCTGTTGGTTATCACATGCATCTGCGTCTGGCCAGTGCCCGTTGATTTACACATCCCATTCTTTGTCAACAGATCGATGACAAGGCTTCGCCATGCGATTTTCTATTATATGCCCGTTCTGTGTTACCACACCTAATATTCTCCGATGCCTTTCGGCACAACCACTCCGCTCCTGCATGGGGTCTAGGTGTCGGGATCTCGGACGCTCGGGCTGTCTTGTGGCTCCAGGGGCTCGGGGCTCTGGTGCGCTCAGGGCCCCCCAGGGCCTAGGGGACCAGTCTGAGGGTCGGGGTCCAGGTGCTCTCGGGGTTCGAGAGGCTCCAAGTGTTCCAGGGGCTCCAGGGTCTCTGGGGCGCTCAGGGCCCCCCAGGGCCTAGGGGTTCAGTCTAGGGGTCTGGGGCTCCAGGGGTTCCAATGGTTCCAGAGGCTCCAAGTGTTCCAAAGGCTCCAGGGGCTCTGGGGCGACCAGGGCCTCCCAGGGCCTAAGGGTTGATAGGGGTCTGGGGCGCCAGGGGGTCCAAGGGTTCCAGAGGCTCCAAGTGTTCGGTGATCCGCGTGCTCTAGCATCTTGGGGCGCGCAGGGCCTCCCAAGGCCTGGATGATGAGATCGATGGTGATGTAACGAGGTTGTGATGCTGATGACGCTGATGACGCTCGATGACGGTGGCGATGATGATGCTAATGATGGTGATGATGATGCCGATGATAGCATGATGGTGGTTATGATGATGCTGCTGGTGATGGTGATGCGGACGAATGATGATGGCGATGAGGCTCGTATGATGCTTTTGCTGCTGGTAATGATGGCGACATGATGACGATGACGACGATGCTGATGATGATGATGACGAACATGATCATGATGATGATCGCGGCGATTGCGTTGGCGATAGCGACGGCGATAATAATGACAAACAGATGTGTCTTATCATGTCTTCGGATGTCTGTGGAACTCTCTGAAACTAGCCAAAACCCAGTACAAACAGTGAAAACCTTAAGTAACTCATCGAACAGGAATGGGGCATGACAGCAAAAGAGCTCGAACTTTGTCGCGGAAGGTGCGGAGGGTGCAGCCGCAGGGGTGAAACGGGGCCCGGCGCACGGCGCTGCGGGGGGGCGCGCAGGGGGCTGCGGCAGGGAAGCGCCGCTGTGCGGCCTCGAGTGGGCCCTCGTCCTCCTCGTCCTCCTCGTCCGCCTCGTCCGCCTCGTCTCGTCCTCCTCGCCCTCCCTGTCCGCGAAGTAAGAGAAAGGGGGGCGATGAATGGGCGGGGGGGAAAAGGGGCCCGAAGGCTCCGTCCTGGGCACTGCAGGGGCCCCCCCTCAGGGGCACCAAAGTCTCCCTGTTCGGCAGCCCTCGCCGCCCTCCCTTTTATGAGGGGCGCGGAGAAAATGTGCCCTTCGAAGGCCCTATAGGTCCCGTCTTGGGCCCTCAAGAGGCCTCGCTGCCCTCCCTTTCATGAGGGGCGCGGAGAAATGTGCCCTTCGAAGGCCCTGGAGGCCCCGTCTTGGGCCCTCAAGGGGCCCCCTATCAGGGGCTCCGACAGGACCCCCTCAGGGGCTTCAACGGGCCCCTTCTCGGCAGCCCTCGCTGCCCCCCCTTCGTGGTCGGGGAGACGAAAGACTCGGGCTCGGGGGATGCGGGTTGGCCTGACGGGGCCATCATGAAAACGACGAGACCCAGTCCGAAAGTTGACGCGAGCTCCCGCTGCAGACATCCCACGAAAACTGGATCGTCAAAATCCAGGGCGGGCTCGTCAAAAAACGTCGGCAAACCCGAGTTCTGGCTTACTCGAGTCTTACGTTTCTCCGACATGGGGGGCGAAGAACTGTGCCATTGTAAGGCCCTAAAGGCCCCCTCTTGGGCCCCAGAGGGCCCCCTTAGGGGCCCAAAAGGGCCCCTTTTCGGCAGCCCTCGCTGCCCCCCAGGGGCCCTTTTCGGCAGCCCTCGCTGCCCCCCCAGTGCGATGTGCCCTTACGTAGAAGGCCCGAGAAGTCCCCCTCTTGGGCCCTACGAGGCCCCCTCTTAGGGGCCCCCAAGGGCCCCTTTTCGGCAGCTTTCGCTGCCCTCCCAGTGAAATGTGCCCGTCTCAGGCCCGACAGGCCCCGCCTGGGGCCCTACAGGGCCACCTTGGGGGCCAAAGAAAGGCCCCTTTGCGGCAGCCCCCGCTGCCCCCCCCCTCCCCCCTCCCATTGATCGCCTCCCCATTCCGCGTCCTCCGACCTCGGGGCGGCGTCACCGCGCGGGCAGGCCCGGCCGAGGGCTGCGCCTCAGGCGCAGCGCATGACGGAGCTCTCCGATGACATTAGTCTGTGCAATCGCGCGGATTTCTGGGACCGGGGGCCGATCTGGGGACCCGCCAGGTTTTGCACAGACCGCTCGATCTTCTCCATCGTCCTTGACAGCTTCATGAACTGTCGGAACACGTCCAGGCTGCGGGCAGGACCCCTCAGGTGGTGGACTCCCTGGGCAAATTCGTTGATGTCGATCTGGCCATCACCGTCCCAATCGAATAACTTGAACAAGTCTTTGGCCTGCTGGAAAGACAGGTCGATGCCCATGTCCGTGAAGGCAGCCTGCGTACGCCAGTCGGTCATGATTGACGAGAACTCTTCGAAGTCAAGGAATCCGCAGGAGTCAGCGTCATGCCTCTTGAAAATGTCAGTTATGTCCTTGATCCATCTCTTTCTCTCCGATATGATTTCCAGCGCGTTCGCCTGCTCGTCCTTCGACGAGCGCGCCGCCGCCTCCACGAACGATGCGGTTACTATGTTCAGCACGCAATATACGGTAACGCCTATTCGGTGGTGGACAAACCTCCCTTTAGTAAGCCTCCACTTAGTGAAAACGGCCTAGGACCGAAACCGACGGACCTGAACCCGCAAAGGTGACGGCCGCGACGCCCCCTCGCGAACCGAAAACGGCCAATTCCTTAATCGACGTGTCGGGTAGGAGGTCTGTCCACCCCCGACCTATGAAGAAGGGGAACGTGCACACCAGGATAAGGTCCACATCCGCCAGCGGCTCCACCAACTCGGACCAGTTCACCCCTCCGCTGACTGCTTTGAAGAGCGTGTAGACGCTGTAAGGCAGCGACTGATAGTTGTCCTTCACGAATGTTATTGTCTCCTGTTCGGCCAGCCCTGAGCCAGCTGTCGACACCCGCATATCTTGCTCGACCTGCGCGAGCCACTCGGAAATGAACTCCAAGCACACAACGGCGTAGGTGAAAGTGACGAGAACCAAAAGAAGGAAAGCCCACAACAAAACCTTGCCGCAATTCAGAATGCCGTCAACCATCATCCGGAGCTCCCTGAAACAATCCATCAGTCTGACCACGCGGATTAGGCGCACCAGTCGCAAGACCCTGAAAACACGCACCACGGAGAACCGCACACCCAGGATCTCGGCATTGTTCAGAAAGGTCAACGCAATGATGATAGTATCGAAGATATTCCATTTGAACATCTTGGCACGGTAATGGAAGAAATGACCCCACTCTGCGACCATCCGGAACAGAAGCTCAAGCATGAAGACGCTGAGAAATACCCAGTCCAGGACAATGAAGAACATCGGCCGGTCTGACCCAAGGTTCCTCATTACCCAATCAGAATTCCAGCCAGTGGCCACGGCATTAGAGATAATGGATACTGCCACTACTGTCTCGAAATGTGATGACGACGTCAAATTCTGGGTCCATTCTCTGATCTCTCGAGAGGCAAGCTTGGAGGGAGGATTTACATCCATATCGCTGCCGTGTGCGATGACGGCCTCGTGACTACTCATCGCAGCTGTGACTGAAGAGAGATCCTGGACTTCGTTGACGAGCTGCTTGGTTGAGCTTTGCTTGGTCATTAAGGGCAACTGTGTGAATTTCGCCGACCGCTTGTGGGTCTCCAGGCGTGTGAGATTCTCCCCCCCCACCATACTCCCCCCTGGGGACCACACACCGAGAATTTGACCCCCCTCCCGGCCTCTGGCGACCCCCGGCCAAACTCCTCACGGGGGTCCAGCCCTCCCCAGGCTCTTTGAGGGTGCCAGGGACACACAAACAAATAATATACACAAATCCCCGGATTCCCCATATTTCCTAATATTTTCTAGGTTTACGTCTTTCCCCCCACCTCCCATACTTTCCCACATTGTCTGGGGAATCGTCGATTAGTTATGTCAGTGTGTGTGTGTGTTTTTGTTCCCCCCTCCTGACTCTTTCTGGCACTCCAAGACACCCGCCGAGAGCTCCCGAGAGGACCCCAAGGCGGTCCAACAGGGCCTGGAGGTCGCCGGAAGCTCGCTCCAAGACGCCAAAGATGGCCTCCAGACGGCCCACGAAGACGACCTACGAGGCCCCTGCAGTCATCAGCCTGACCTAAGGAACGATACATAAGGAAACCTTTTTTTTCCAAAGGAATAACGCATACATAAAGAACGATAAACAATTCATGCGAAACTAAAGGAACGACGGGCCCCTTTTGAAAAGGAAGTGTTCCAGATTCAAACCGCTCACTATAAACCAGAGGTCCCTAAAACGGACAAGACAGTTTCCAATTCGGCACAGGAAAGCCCCAGGACGGCCAAACAATGGGGCCAACGAGGGGGAAACCGAACGGACATCTCGATCTTTCGGCCCCCAGAAGCCCCCCAGGTTGCTCCGAGAAGCACTCCGTGAGGCCCCAAAAGGCCCCCAGGGACTCCCAAGGAGAGCCCCGCAGAGAAGTCGCCAAGAGCGCCCCCCCACCAGGAGGCCCCCAAAGGGGGCCCGGAGGCTGCTTCCAAGAGCGCCCCCGTGAGGCCCCGTGAGCGCCCCCGTGAGGTGCTCGGCGGCGAGCGCAAGCCGATGATCCTCGGAGCGTGTGCTAGCGCCAACGTGTGCTTGCCCACCGAGGCCTTCAATACGACGCAGGCGCACACAACGATGGACGACACAGGCTCAGCGCTATCGGCGAAGCCGAACGGGGTAACACACACGCTTGGGCTAACACGCGCCCTGAGGGCCATCGAACAAAGGGGTACTGCAGGTCCGTGTCGTGCCGACCCCAACGTTAATTCCTGGCACCGCGGGGACCTTTCAGCCTTGAACGATCGGCCGTCCCCGAAACGTCAGGATCGTTCATCGGCGACACGTAAGAGTGCCCCTAAGCAAGAGTGCCCTTTGGTGCGCGGCCTTAGGGGGGCCCGTGGGGGCCTGGAGCAGCCGCGCAAGCCGACGCCGTCGGATTGCATCGACGATCGGTGGGGCGCGCTTCGATAGATCCCTAGCGCCAGCAGGCAATTGCGGACTTCCGCCAATTCATTCCGGGCGCCCCAAAACACCCGCCCGAGGGCTCTGCGAAGCCAGACGTAATCGGGCGCCACCACGGAATGTTCTGGCACTGCCGAGCCGCATCGCGATGACGTCTGACCGGGCCCGGCGTCAAGGCCGAAACCGGGCCGAAACTTGGCCCCCCCGCGGCCGCAAATCACTTTCAATAGTAAAGAATTGAGTTGCAAAGCGCGGACTGCGAAAAGTTATTCAAAGTTATTCAAAGTTAGCCAAAGTTAGTCAAAGTTATTCCAGGACGATTTGGGACCAGTCCCAAAGCGGAGAGCACGTCGCCCGCTCGACCGGGCCCCCCCTCGCCAAACGAAGCACGCGGCAGAATACACCGTGCATGCGTTGCGATCGATTGCGAGGGGTGCACCCTGAATCAAGCGCGCTCTGATGCGATCGCAGACTGGTGCAGCGTGCGCCGACACGAGGCCGAGCGCACTCCCCAAGAAAATCTGTCCGACCCCATCCGGGCCAACACTAAAGGTCACTCTGGCCAAGGGTCACTATTACGTGTAGCCGAGTTCAACATCGACCGATTCTGGGCCGCTGGCAGCGGTCAACGTCGAACGCCGGCGGCGGGGTTGTCGCCGGTCGACACGACGAAAACCTGCCGTAGGGAAAGGGGGAAGGCTTCGTAGAAGCAGGCTGTTTTTTAATAGCCTTGCCCCCCTTACCCTACCCCCTTTCTGCGCGTGGCCGCGGGACACCATCGCCCATCCGAGTGGCCTCAGACCCACAACCCAAGCACGGTGGCGGCATGGGCCGAAGGCTATTCGATACCCATCGGTCGGAATAAGTATGTAGAAACATGAAGTAGGAAGGCGGATCAAGTAGATTGGGTTCGGGCCCGCCCAAGGGGCAACAAACCGCATCACAAGTATATCGATTCTTGAAATAGAAAGCCGCTCGAAGTAGATTTAGTGTTTGGGGATCCAATAATACCTACTTTCAACGACCGATGGGTAAGCATTCCTCTGGTGTCTTGACAAATGCCCGCTGTTTTCGGCGGTGGACAAACCTCCCTTTAATAAACCACCCTTTAGTGACATCGGCCTAGGACCGAAACCGATGGACCTGGGCCCGCCGAAATGACAGCCGCGACGCCCTCTCGCGAACCGACAACGGCCAATTCGCGAACCGACGCGTCAGGGTAGAAGGTCGATCAACTTCCGATGTTTGTGATCGTGGGTTCTCGCGCGTGCCCATGTGTGCACGGTGAATACTGAGTGTCAGCCGCAGAAAGAATAGGACCCCAAGGAGCTTCCTTCATGACTCTGACAGTGCCCATTCCGTCGTCCCCCGAGAGCGTTCCGAAGAAACCCCACGAAGCATCGCTGAAATTTCCGGGACGGGCGAACGGGGGGGAATAGTAAAGGGCAGGGTTGGGGATTTGCTAACATGAAGTGGGTGCTTAAAGCTTCCCAGCTACTGGTCGCACTGGCGTGGCGACTCCTTTAATCAGATCGCGCGCCCTCGGCTTGTGTTTTTTTCACATGCCTGGAAGTGCGCTGGGAGCACGCGCGCCTGCCACAATGGAGATGCATTTGGTGCCCTGCCCGCGCGTTCCACCATGGCCGTGCGTTTGCTCACGCACCCATGAACGCAAGATCGTTCCATGCGCGCTCAACGCGCTGAGCGGGCAGCGCGCGAGAGGCTCTCGCTCGCGCGCGCGCGCACAAGGACACGCGCAATCACGATGGCTGCACGCGTGCGTGACATGACTCAGCAGGGGTGCGTTTCCAAACGCGGGAAAAACGTTCACCCCATCCCCAACCCGTTCCTCCCACCCCGCCCTGCTCCCCCCCACCCCCACCCCCGCGCACCCAACCAGCTATATGGCGCTGATCCGGCGGGAGACCAGCTACATGCAGCTAGCTTCGCGCCAAACTAGCTCCAGGCAGCGAGTTCGGCGCGAAACTAGCTGCGTGGAGCTGGTTTCGCGCCGAGCTAGCTACGCGCGCGTAATTCAGCCTTTCGGGGCCCTTCCGGGAAGGGCTCGTAGGGCCTCTCGAGGCGCCCCGAGCCCCCGAGGGCCTCGCGGCGCGCGCCGGGGGAGGCACGCGCGACGAGAACCCGGGGGGATGCCTAAATTTAGGGCTGAGTCTGCGGGCAGTACTCATATCCATATCCAGAGCGTCTTGGACTTTTCGGGAAGAGGTGCCGCAACGCCGAGGCGCACTGGATATGGATAAAATTAAGCCTCTTGGGGCCTGATTTTTATCCATGTCCAGTGCGTCTACGGTTTCTGGGGAAGAGGGCCCAAGACTCCAAGACGCACTGGATGTGGATATAATTATTGCCCGCAGCAAAGTCGGGCATGCCCCAGGAATATTCAAACATACTCAAAAAATCAAACAATAATCAAACATGGCCAACAATAGTCACAAGTAGCCAGAAATAGCCCAACAATAGTCACAGATAGTCGAACAATAGTCTGGGGGCGATTTTGTTCCACCATTTTCGAGCCTTTGTTTAGCATGGTTGGGCAATGTTTGAGCGTTCGTCCAAAATCCGCCTGTAGGGGGACATGCCCAGCCTAAGTTTGGGGTAGTTGTGGGTCCCGTGCGGAATCTTCAGGATTGAGGACTCAGGCGTCAGGGACTACAGTGAACATCCATAGCAACGACGGGTAGCCTTCCCAAGGGCACCTTTGCGTCCTTAGATGTGTTCGGCAGTGTGCCGCCAGAAAAGCTTCAGCTGGGGCATCCAAGGATCGTCCAAGGGTCGTGCGTCCGTACAGCGTGTCCTTACTATTTACTTTGTCTGCATGCCAAAGACCTGAAGACACGCGAACTCGTGCCTCAAGGGCACGGTGGTGGATATATATATATATATATATATATATACTAGAACCACGCGCGCGCTTCGCGCGCGCTTAGGTTCTGTCGAGTCACAGACCCAGGAATCGTTGCGAGAAGAAATTGGTGACGCGAAGCGTCTTGGGGGCGTCCTTGGACGTCTGGGGTCTCCTGGGGCCTCTTGAGGGGCCTCCTTGGGGCCTCCTGGCGGCCTCTTGGGGCGGAAGGCTCGAGCTTGCGGTTCGTGGTCCCCCTCTGGGCCCCCTCTTGGGCCCGTCTTGGGGCCCTCTTGGGCCATCTTGGGCGCCTCTTGGGCCGTCTTGGGGCCCTCTTGGGCTGTCCTGGGGCCCTCTTGGAAGCTTCTTGGGCCGTCTTGGGGCGGTCTTGGGCGCCTCTTGGGCCGTCCTGTAACGTCGGAAAGCCCAAAAGACAACTTTGTTGAAAATGTACGTTTTACGAAGGGAATGGGCCAATTTTTGCGTCTAGGGGCCCTCTTGGGACGCATGTTGGAGGCTTCTTGGGGCCTCTTGGGGGCGTCCTTGGACGTCTGGGGTCTCCTGGGGCCTCTTGAGGGGCCTCCTGGGGGCCTCCTGGCGGCCTCTTGGGGCGGAAGGCTCGAGCTTGCGGTTCGTGGTCCCCCTCTGGGCCCCCTCTTGGGCCCGTCTTGGGGCCCTCTTGGGCCATCTTGGGCGCCTCTTGGGCCGTCTTGGGGCCCTCTTGGGCTGTCCTGGGGCCCTCTGGGAAGCTTCTTGGGCCGTCTTGGGGCGGTCTTGGGCGCCTCTTGGGCCGTCCTGTAACGTCGGAAAGCCCAAAAGGCGACTTTGTTAAAAATGTACGTTTTACGAAGGGAATGGGCCAATTCTTGCGTCTAGGGGCCCTCTTGGGACGCATGTTGGAGGCTTCTTGGAGCCTCTTGGGGGCGTCCTTGGACGTCTGGGGTCTCCCGGGGCCTCTTGAGGGGCCTCCTGGGGGCCTCCTGGCGGCCTCTTGGGGCGGAAGGCTCGAGCTTGCGGTTCGTGGTCCCCCTCTGGGCCCCCTCTTGGGCCCGTCTTGGGGCCCTCTTGGGCCATCTTGGGCGCCTCTTGGGCCGTCTTGGGGCCCTCTTGGGCTGTCCTGGGGCCCTCTTGGAAGCTTCTTGGGCCGTCTTGGGGCGGTCTTGGGCGCCTCTTGGGCCGTCCTGTAACGTCGGAAAGCCCAAAAGACAACTTTGTTGAAAATGTACGTTTTACGAAGGGAATGGGCCAATTTTTGCGTCTAGGGGCCCTCTTGGGACGCATGTTGGAGGCTTCTTGGGGCCTCTTGGGGGCGTCCTTGGACGTCTGGAGGCCATCTTCAGCATCTCGGAGCCCTCTTGGAGGCCTCTTGGAAGTTTCTTGGGCCGTCTTGGGCGCTTCTTGGGCCGTCTTGTCTGACCGGGGAGGCCTCCGGCAAGCCCCGACGAGCCTCCGGGGCCCCCGGGGTGCACATTTGCGGTCGGGGTCCCGGCCCCGGGCCCCCGGACCCGGTGCGCCGTTATATGTATATAGTGTGTGTGGGCGGCAGCACTGGGGCCTTCGGTGGAGCTCCCTATGGGGCCACGAAACGTGTGAGGGGTGTGCCGAATTGGGTGTGCGTGACGCATGCGGGCGGCAGCAAGGAGGAGGGGGCAGAGGAGGAGGGGAAAACGCGGGGACCGTTTCTTCAAAACGAGGACCCAACACCACAGGACGGTTGGGAAATATCTGTACCTAGGTCAGGCCATGTCCCCCTACAGGAAGATGTTGCGCGAAACATCAAAAAAAGCCAAAGCATGCGCAAGCCATGCTCAAAAAAGAAGAGTTCGTCCCCCAGACTATTCTTTGACTAATTGTGAATACCCAATAGAGGGACACGCCCGACTTAAATCTATACCCATCGGTCGGAATAAGCAGGTAAACATGAAGCAGGCAGGCGTTGAAAAGAGATTGGGTTCCGTCCGCCCCATTGGGAGGACGGAAAAGGTGAAGCCACTCGATCATGGAAGTAGGAAGGTGCTTAAAGCATGTTGGATCTGGGAATCCCAAAATGCCTGCTTTCAACGACCGATGGGTAGTGGGTCCTCCACGTTTGGAACTTCCGACGCTCAAAGACGGCCCAGGAGTCCCCCAAGACCGCCCCAAGACGGCCCAGAAGGCTCCGAAGAGGGCCCCCAAACGGCCGAAGAGAACTCCAAGACGGCCCCATGGGCGCACAAGACGGCCCAAAATGACCCACATACAACCCCAAGGTAAGCCCAAGAGGGGAAGCACGAACGGAAAATCTGGATCTTCCGCCCCTGAAGGAAAGGCCATTAGATAACAAGAACCACCCGACCAACGAGCCCCAATACAGATCCAAGAGCGCCCAAACTCGCCGTGAGAAGGCTCCAAGAGTGGTCCGAGATTCCTATGAATAAACACTCCCTTCCCCACTGCCCCCGTAAACAAACAATACAGAAGGCACTAACTTTGCCTCCAAATCCGCCGACCCCTCGTGGGTCTCCAAGCGTGTGAGCTTGTTCCCTCCCGATACTCCCTCCCCGGACAAGGACAAACGCATCATGGAAGGATACACTGGAGGCCCGACCACAAGAAACCTTCCGCACGAAACCCAGCCCTGAGACCCCAGAACGTCCACTGATTTCGGGCGTGGGGACGTCACGCTTTCCACAGCAAAACCATCGAAGCCAAAGAAACCCAGGGCACCCTGGAGGCACGCAGGGTGTTTCTTGGCATGGGTCCCCACTGTAGAGGGACCCAAAAGGGGCCAATAGAAGGGCCCCCAGACAGCCCATGAGGGCCCGAAGACGGCCCAAGAGGCCACCAAGACGCTCCAGATGCGCCTCTGAGGACTCTGTCCCCAAGCCCACGCTCGGTGACGACACGGGCCGAGGTCCCTCCGACAGAGATCAGGCCCCTGACGCACCATCGAGAGGTCTCGGCGGATGTGGCCTGAGAGCTTTCAGCATCCTCAGCCGACGCCGACGTGGCCCACGGCTCTTTTGCCTCCCGGCACGGCGCCCCCAGCGTATCTGGCACGACTGGATCGTCGCTGTCGTCGGCAGCCGGGCTCGGGTCGCCGTCGTCTCCGGCGGCTGCGCGGGGCGGCGCCCTCGGCGCGGGCTCCGGGTTGCTGGCCTGTGGGCTGGGGGAACACCGTGACATAAGCATGAACAAGATGACTTGAACATAGAAACCATGGATAGGGAAACAAACCATGACGCATGATACGCACCTGAAAACTCAGAGGTCCGCGCGGAATCCTCGCATCGGCGCTGGGCCCTCCCCCTCTCTCGCGCGCGGAGCGCGCCAGGGGCGGCGCCGGGGGCGCCGCCAGGGGGCCCCAGCGTCGATCCGAGAAATCCGCGCGGACCTCCGAGCTCCTCTGCGCATGTCATTGTCCGTTCCCCTATGTCGGCTACACGCAAGAGTGACCCTGGGTAAGAGTGACCTTTGGTGCGCGGCTTCTTGGGGGCCGCGTGGGGACCAAACCTGGGCACGCAAGCCGTTGCTCCTGCTTCGTTTTCGGCCATCTGGGGGCCCATCTGTGCCCGCACCAAAGGTCACTCCGGCGAAAGGTCACTCTTACGTCTAGTCGACTATGGGAGCGCGCTGGCCTCGCGCGGGCTCCCGGCGGGCGCGGCCGCCCCGCGCTCGCCTCGCACGCTCGCCTCGCCGCGGCCACCGGCGGCCGCGCCCCGCGAGTCCTCGGCCGCCGCGGCGCACTGCGCCTCGGCCTGCGGCGCGCTGGCGCCCCGCCCGTTCCTGCGCGGGGGCTCCACGGCGCCGACGGCATGAAGCAGGGAGCGGTGGTTGTGCTCCATCCTGAGGGGAACGAGGAGTGGCATAAGCGAAGAGTGGCATAAACATAAACATACCGATCCTAGTCCTCCTCATCCTCCTTCTCCTCCGCGGTGGAGGCCCATGCCAAGAAATAGGGGAACGAATAATGACATTATCATAAAAACTCTGAGGTCCGCGCGGATTTCTGGGAGCCGCGCTGGACGCCCCTGGCGGCGCCTCCGGCGCCACCCTCCGCGCGCCAGGGAGGGGGGTCCAGTGCCGATCCGAGAACTCCGCGCGGACCTCAGAGTTTTCAGGTGTATGTCATTGCTTGTTTCCCTAATCTTAGGTCGGGCGCGTCCCCCTGCAGGGGGGTTTTGGACGACAAATAAAAGATACCCCAAAAACACTCCAAAATGGTCACAGATGGTCTGAAAATCCTCCCCAGACTATTGTCTTAAACCATTTTTGCATACTCCCCCTGTAGAGGGACACGCCCGACTTGACCCTAATCCTCTCTGCGAGGGTCTCCAGCTGCTCGCGCAGCAGCGCCAGGTTCCACAAGACCAGGCCTTCGGGAGAGCCCGCCCCTTTGTCCCCCACCGCCGCTCCGGCGGCCCTGCCCGCGCGGGGCCCGTGGATTTGCTCGGCAGGCTCCCCGCCATTGCGGAGTCCGGGGCGGGCAGGGTCTGAAGATGCGGGCGGGGGCGATTCCTCCAACATTCTCCGCTGTACGGTGGGCTCGCGCGGCAGCGCACCGTGGAAGCCTCGCGTGAACCAGGTGATCGGCTTGAGCCAGAGCGTCACACAGGGAGATCTAGCAGAAGCGAGAAGGGAAAACCAGACATCCTTTCGAAAACACTGATACAGGTTTTGCACAGCGAGTTTTGGAACGAGGCTTTATTCGCAATCGCGCGGCCAGCTGCATTGCCTCCCTCCCACACTCTGGTGTAAGAGTCCAGATCTAGTAACTCGGCCCATTTGTCGTGATTCGTTTGTTTGGAAGCATTTCCGAACGATGTTAAATCATACTTTGGTGACCTGTTCTTGGCGCTTCGCGTACTCTCGCCAGCCCATCCAAAACCAATCACCCTCTTGGGTTCGCTTTGGCCGTTCTCGTGGCCTTGGAGGTGCCTCTTGGTATCATATTGGATGTCATCAGTTAAAGAGGGGGGGGGACCAAGTCGCCCCCCGCCCCCCAGAAGCAGAAAGATGGCCTCTTGGGGTCCTGCTGGGGCGTTCTTGGGGCCCTCTTGGGTCATCTCGGGGCCGTCTTGGGTCCCTCTTTGGGCTCGCTTAGGGCCATCGTGGAGCGATTCTGAAGCCTCGGGAGCCTGCTGGAAGCGAAAATGCGACAACACAACAAACTATGACTTTCCTCAACAAAAGTGTCGATGATGATGGCCTCTCCGGAGGGTCCTGGGGAGGCTCCGTGGCCACTTCGAACTGTGTTGGGGCGGTCTTGGGGCTTATGGAACTGTGTTAGGACTGTGATGGCCACTTGAACTGTGTTGGAACTGTGTTGGGGCATGTTGAGACTATACTGAGCCACATTGGGCTATGACCATCTTGGGTTGGCCAGGGCCCTCTTGGGATCGTCCTGGGGCCGTCTTGGACCCTCCAACGACCCGCGGACAGCCCCCTCCAGGCCCAGGGAAAGGGGTCCGGGGGAGAGGGGAATCTCCCCCTGAAGAGGAGAGGGAGGTTCCAACAGGTGGCACGCGTGCCATGGCATTTGCACATAAGCTAAGGGGAGGATGAGGGGGAGGCGGAGGGGGAGGAGACAGGGAGGGCGGGAAGGAGGAGGAGGAAACGGGCGGGGAGGATGCTGAGTGACCGACGGAGGGGGAAGCAAATGGCGACGGAGCAAAAGGAGGGCACGGGAGACGGAGGACGCGGAGAGAGAATGGGGGAGGGAGGATGTGAGGAGGGAGGAGGACCAGGACGAGAAGGACAAGGGAACGCCAGGAGCAGGAGGAACGGAGCAAAAACAGACGAGGAGGGGAAGTCATCAAGGGGAGGGAGCAGACGCAGTCACAAAGGCGATTCGCGAAGACGAGCAGGGGCTGCCTGTCCTCAATATCCACCAGACTGGCCAAACAGAATTCAACCAGCGGTGCAGGGCCGCCAGGTCACGTATGATTCAATTAGCGTCAGGTCGGGCATGTCCTCTACAGGCGGGTTCTGGACGACTGATAGAAAATAGTCGAATATACGCAAAAAAAACTCCCAAATGGTCAAACAATCGTCCCCAGACTATTCTTGTACTATTTTTGTGTAGTCCTCCTGTAGAGGGAAACGCCCGACTTAACACCAGACTGGCCGAACAGAACTTAACAAGCGGCGCACGGCCGCTGGGTCACGTACGATTCCATTCGCACCACAACTGGCCAGATGACCGGCCCCCATGTCGTGCAAGAACGGAGCCGTGCGGGACTCCGTCTTCAACCAGATTGTGTACTGGGCAACTTGATCAGACAAGGAAGGCCTGCAAAACCTGCGGCCGCAACACCCTCCCGAGATCCCCGAAAAACGGCAATTCGCGAATCGACTTGTCAGGGCATTTTTTCTGTTTTATCCAACTGTGCAATGGAGAGAGCAACAATGCATCCGCGCAGAAGCGGCAGCAGGCGGCAGCGCAGGCGGACTTTCTCTTGACGCCCCTCTTTAGAATAAGAAAAAACGCCATACACATTTGTTTGGGGGAAGCGCCAAACATTTATGTGTGTGGCGTTTTTTCTTCTTCGCATCTTGGCCTTCGCCCTGGGATTTCTCTTGACGCGATACCGCTACTCCCCGGACCACTCCTGGGGTGAGTTCTGACCAGAATTCCGAGGCGAATCCAACGGTGGCGACGAGGGCCTCGCGGGAGGCACAACCATGGGAAAACGGCCGAAAGGCAGAGGCATGGGCACATCTGCCTCAACTGCCGTTCTCTTGGCGCCCCTCTCGGCCTTCGCCTTGGGCTTCCTCTTGACGCCCCTCTTGGCCTTGCGCCCGTGGCCTGGCGGGGGGGGGGCCGACCGGGCCGAAGCTCGGACGCACCACGGGCGACGGAGGGAGAACAGGAGCGACTGGTCTACTCTGTAAGAACGGTTTTTTGAAGGCAAATCTGCCTTCAAAAAATTGTCTACTCTGTAAGAACGGTTTTTGGAAGGCAGATCTGCCTTCAAAAAGGAAAGACTGGTCTACTCTGTAAGAACGGTTTTTTGAAGGCAGATCTGCCTTCAAAAAACCGTTCTTACAGAGTAGACCAGTCTTTCCTCCTTGCAGCGGCACGGAGTGCTGCCGCCTTCTCCCCTCGCTGCCTTCCTCGCTCTCGGCCGCCATCTCAGAGCGAGGGGGCGAACGGTCGTTCACTGTCCCTGGGGGGTGCGTGGCTGAAGTGGGCTTCTGCGGTGCAGACTGTTGTTGGACTCTAGTTCCTGAAGAACCATCATTGTTGATCCCCCCTCCAGTAACCCTTGTGGTTCTCCTCTCAATCAGGGAAAGCACTGAACCTCAAACTGGGCGGCGGGCCCCCGAAGTACTACAACAGCAACGGCTCCCGCCGGATCCTCCCCCGCGACGTATGGAAGAATCGCGCTCGCGAGACTTCCTCACGATTTATGTAGGGCACGCGCTCTCGCGTGGGACTTCTTTACAATTTACTCACACGATGCGCCCTCGGCGCTCAGGAACCACGCTCTTGCTTTGGCGTTTCCCACGATTTAGTTGGAAACCGCGCTATCGCTCGAGACGTCCTCGCGATTCATGCAGGACCAACGCTTGAGCAACCAGCCTGCTCGACCTGGTCGCCTGGGCCTTCCCGACCCGCCCGCTATGGGTCTGCCCACCCGATCTGCCCGACTGGTTATACCATTTGTTCTCTGATGCTTGCCCCCATCTTACAAATTTCTCTCGTGCTCCATCCTTGTCCTCCCGCTTCCATCCGTCCTCTCTTCCCCTCTTTTTTGGGGCTGCACTAAATGCGCGTGGCTATCCCCAGGAGGTTTAGGTCGAAGACAACGAGGGCGGATACCGAGGGTCTAGGATATACGTATTGGATGGCACGTGATCAGATCGGGGCGAGCAGTCTTAAACATATTGTTGTCGCATATACTGTTGTTGGTGGTGGTGGTACTGTGATTGTTATTGTTAGTGTTGCTGTTGATATGGATGCTGCTGTTGCTGGTGTCGTTGGTGGTATTGCTGTTGCTAGTGTTAGTGTTATTGGTTGTTGGTGTTATTGTTGTTATCGGTGATGTTAGTTGTGTATGTGGTGTTGTTGTTGTTGGCGTTGGTGTTGTTGTGGCTGTTTGTGCTGGTTGTTGTTGTTAGTGGTGGTGATGGTGGTGTCGGTTGTGTTGTTGGTGGCATTGTTTTTGTTTGTTGTTGTTGTTGGTCATGGTTGTTTGTTATGAGTGGCTTGCTGTCTGTTGTTTGTTGTTTGTTGTTTGCTGCCGTCATTCCGCCCGCGACCCGGCCCGCAGCCCACCCGCGACCCCTCACTGCTGCCATCGCTCGGGGATCGGAGCGCACAAAGACAGGGCGGGGGATGACATCGGGTGCGGGGGGCGAGTGTGCGGGGAGTGCTGCGTGGAGTGTCCCGCGCCAGTGCCTCTGGACGGCACCGCGCTCGCTCGAGACATGGAAAGCAACGGTTTTCTTAGTCGGCGTCTCGACACTGGGCGGAAAGGGGCACGGGGGGGGAAGGGGGGGGGGTCTGTCTCCAGACCTCTGCTTCGTGCGACTGTTTGCACCAGCGCGCCCTGTGGGGGACACACCACCTGCTCGAAACAGGCGCCCCAAACAGCCAAGATCTAATCCATGGGGGGGGAAGAGGGTTCCAAGGGCCCGCGCCGATCGGCAAAACAATGAATAAGAAATCGATCACTATACAGTAGGAGCTCGACCACAAGAAACCTTCCACAAGTCCAACCCTGAGACCCCAGGACGTCCATGGATTTTAGTGTGGGAACGTGACGCTTTGCCGTAGCTAAACCATCGAAGCCCAAGGAACCATGGGCACCCTGGAGGCAAGCAGGGTGCTTCTTGGCGTGGACTTCCACTGCGGGGGCAACCCTCAGGGAGGCCACTGTCAATCCGCCAGGGCCCCTTAGTACACCCCACTGTCCACCCACTGCACACAAACAGACAAGCCACTGGCATTCCACTGGAAGCCCGGCCCCGAGCCCCCTTCATGAGGCGTCCCGGGACCGCGCTGACAAAGTGGGCTGTCAGTGGGGCGCCGTTGGATTGTAACTGGCAGCCCGAAAGGCGAACGAGGGAGACGCTCGGGAGTGTCCAATATGCGGTACCTGTCGAGTTGGTGGTGGGCGAGTGGAAACTCATCCCACAACCTAATGGAAGTTCCACTGACAGCCCACTACACAACCCACTGACAGGCCGCTGATCCTGGAGCGCCTCAGGTAATGCCTCAGCGTGTTGTCAGCCCACTGTCAAAGAATTGTCACATGGGTTGTGGGTGGGTTGTCGCATGAATCTTGAGTGGGTGGCCTGGGGGCGAAGCTGGGGGGACCCAGGCGATTTGTCAGCAGTCAATGGGCTGTCAATTGGGTTGCCACCTGTGACCTCCCGTGCCATCCCAACTTTATTTTTAATAGCTTGTCCGTAATCGTATTCGCGTGAATGGTAATATGAGTATCCGTCTTAGTATGACGCG